TTCTTTCTTTCACTCTCTCGTTCATTCTTGGGAACCTGGGAGTGGTTCTGGTATGTCCTACTTCTTTTCATCCCCTACGTTGCTTCTGTCTCTCTATCCTGCCTTTCTCCTGAATGTGTGTTGTCTTGTTCATGTGATTATGTTTACGCTTAGAAGAGGTTTCGTTGTTTCTCATGTTTAGGTTTTCGCGGTCTTCCTGTTATTTTCTACCTCTTCTTTGTCTGCTCACCCACTTCTCTCTCGTTTCCTCTCTCTATCTTCGCCCGTCTCTCAGTCTCTGTCTCTGTCTCCCTCCCCCTCTCTCTCTCTCTCTCTCTCTCTCTCTCTCTCTCTCTCTCTCACACACACACACACACACACACACACACACACATATACACACACACATACACACACACGCGTCTGGACAGTTTGACCATTTGCTACCACCTTTTTGCAGGGACTCTTCTGGGAATTTCACCCTTCAGAATTTGAAGATATCTGATCTAAATCTAAAGATTAATGTTATGATTAACCAAGTCTTAAACTTTAAAAATGCTCTACCTGAAAAAGACTGATTCAAGCATCTATTTACAACATTGTTTTAGAACTGCAGTCTTGACTCGTATGTTTGCCCCCCCAAAAAAAACAAACAAACAAAAAACAACAACAATCCCGCCGAACTGTAGAGTTTTGTTTTTATAAACACACACGTTTCACAAATAAGATATATTAAATAACACTTTATAAAACTAAACAACAGATAGAACGATGGAAGTTATTTGAGAAAGCGAAGAAAAATATAAAAACTCTCGATGGCGAAACTGACAGCACGGAAATAACGAGAGATGTCTCATAATAATGTAGTGGGAAGAAACGAGCAGGGTAAGCAGCTAGACAACAGCAGATCTTCTAGAGGAAGAATCTCCTACGAGCATTGTTGTGTTTCGGCCCAAAGTAGATCTACCTGACATTTTAAGGATGCTTGGCCACACTCAGGAGGTCATGACTCGCGAGTTCTATCGGCCTTTTTTTTCGCTGGTCGAGGATTGAACTCTATTATAATACAAAGATCGTACATAACAAGATAGTCCACTTCTCTTTGAGCCAATTAAAAATGTGTCCTCAAATTTCGGTGGCGCCCTCTTCGAAAAAGTGCAGACTTTATGAACAGGGGTACCCTACTTCTTGTGGGAAAAACAATAAAAGTGAAATTAGCAAACTGTTCTATTCCTATTCTTCTTCAGAAGAAACGAAATGAGCTTCAAAACAAAGACTGCAGCGGCATCTGCATCAAGCGCGGACACTTTTTTGGCTGAGTGAACGATCTTTGTTATACATAGTGGGTTTAGTGGATCTCCGGATCTTCAGTCTGTGGATGTTTTAGGAGTGCCACAAAACCATCTTTGTTTCTCGATCATCACCAACACCTCGCTACCCTTGAGTTACAAAGTTCTATGTACTCAGTGCCTAGTTTTAAGAAATCTGACATTAAAAGTTTTGAGTTTCACTTGTCAAGCTTTTTCGAATGCATTTTTTTGTGTTGGATATTCGTGAAATGCATTTCTTTGAATATCTTGATAACGACTCTGATATCCATCGTTTGGTTTCTGACCTCATGGTCTTAATAAATCAAAAAGGCTAAAACTGTCCAATAACAAAAACAAAACAAAAAAGATTTTAGGATATCGAAGTGCCTGACCTGCAACAGACACCGGCGACGATGGTTCACCATACATTTTTAACCCAGTAGTTGTGAAAATAAAAACAACAGCAACAAAAAAAAACCCCCTTCCAAAAAAACACAACAGCAAAGCAACAAGGAACAAACCCTAAACAAACAAAAAGAAACCTACAGTACTTGTCCTTCCTGGTCACTGATCTGGTCTGACTTTCCAGTTAAGGTAAGTAGCTCTTGGTACACCCCTTCTTCGTTTGCCTTCACTTTTACCACACTAAAAAAGATGTTCCAAGTCCTTTATGCCGATTCAAGGAACCCAGAAATCGCACTTGTTTCATCCTTGTTGTTTTTATTCGCAAGCAGAACGCATCGTCTTCTTTAGGTACCGGATCATTTAAATTAATTTTCTTCCGTAAATCGTTTACCAGTCTCCTATGAAGGCAATTTTCTGCTGCTGCCATTTTATTCTCACTGTCTCTCATGGTTATTCTACAGTCAGAGCCGCACAGAAGGACTGACTACATGTAACATTAATTACAACTCTTATTTGTTGGTTTGTAGTTGTTGTTTTTTTGGCTAATTGTTTTACGGCACTCTCTACTGCAAAATATTAAGGTCATATGAGCGCACTGGACATATTATACATTTTTCAGTTGGTAGGAACTTTTGATTTTTGCCCCGGTAGCGGCCAAAGCCTACTTTTATCGATTTTAAACCACCAAGGGATCTTTAACGTGCACAACTTGCGCACAGGACCTCCGACAATTTTCGCCTTTTGTCTGAGAAGGCTAGGTGTAGCTGAAAGACTGCAGTAAGAAGGAATCAAGGAGTAGCAGTTGAAAGGCTGCAGAAAGAGTCAGGAGCCCAGAGTCGGGGGGGGGGGGGGGGCAACAAAGGAGGTTAGGGGTGTGGGCAGAAAATGGAGACGAAAGCAGACGATAGAACATTGCAAGAGAGCCGGAAAGAAGGTGAAAGGAGATAATTTTAGAGAAGAAA